CGGGGCAGAGGCTGCCCCAGCCCGGCCTGCGCTGCTGCAGCGGCTCCCGCTCCCCTCGGGCTCCGTTCTGGCCCCGCTCTGCTCACAAGGCAGAAGAAAGCTCAGCTGGACTGCCGTGTTTCCAGAAAGGGATGTGGAACGGGCAGATTGAGAGAAGGTTCTTAAATTAGGCATGTTATTATCTTAAGACACTGTTTTACAGGGTGTCACAGGAAGTGCCGTTTTTACGGTTCTTCTTTCTAGAGCCAATAAACTCTAAATTTGACCTTTCTGGGGTTTTTTTTTAAGCTAGAGGAAATCAGCTGGTTGTTAGGGTTAGAAAGAGCCTAGGGCATATACCCAGTGATCTATGCTCAGATTCTCAGTGGCACAGATTCCCTACAACTGTGCTCACCCTTTGAACACAGAGTGCAAGTAAACAGCGGGGAGAAAATGTTTAAAGCATCTGCGGTTTTTAGTAGGTGCTTTTAACAATAGTGCTTCAAACCGGGATCAATCCCTTCACCAGCCCCTCCAGAACGGGGTCCTACAACTATCCTTCCCCCGGTTGGAGTAAAAAATACTGAATTCAGTCACTGCCTGCAGAAAGGTGATGGAACTGTAAAGCTTTTAGTGACACACAAATACAGTAATGCGGTTAAGTTTCGGCCTGTGTTTACCAAAGTAGGTGTCAAAGTCCTCTGTTTGTTTTTTTTTTTTTTCTTATAAATTAACTTAGGTGACCGGAATATTAAAGTGAAAAGGCTGCAGAAAACAGAAGAAATGAAGCTCGCATTTTTTTAGGAAAAGAGGAGTTCGCAGTTCCACACCCTGCAGCAGTGTTTATTTTCTTGTTAGTGTCACACCTTTCCCTGTCACGTCTGGCTGGGGCTGAGGAGCTGAAAAGGAAACTCAGGTTGTCTGAGGTTTTTTCCTGCGGTTTTTGAGCTGTCAGTGCCTCTTCCAGACTCTCTGGCAAGTGAGGAGTGGGGGGTTCTGCTTTAAGGTGGAAACCTGCCTCCGTTTAAATGCTGAGCACATAGAAAGTGATAAATGTGTCTGTTCCTGGTGCCAGGGACTTCAGGAGTACCCCAGGAAATTAGCCAAACTTCCTAGGTGTGCTTTTTTCATACTGTCACTACTCACACCTAAATAGTCCTGGATTTGTAGCCTGTCTGTAACAAAACCTGTGTGTTATTTCTAAGTATTTTATGGAAAACAAGTAAGTGCAAGGTCTTGAAGCTTATCTTTTTCTTTGGGTTGTTCAGTGCTTCCACTTAGAAAAAAAAAAAAGAGGAATGCACATATTGAAGAAGAGTATTTTAAGTATTACTTTAGGAAAATTAATCCAACACTCTTGCTGATTTACCTTACAGGTGCTTCTGTCAGCTGCTGAGTCAGGGACACGGCCTGAGTATGAAAGGATTTGCTTTGAGGTTTTTTTTGTTTTGTTTTGGGTTTTTTTGGGGTTTTTTTTTTGGTAGTTTGTTTTTGTTTGGTCTGTTAAGGTGTGGCCTGTGTGTGAAGTTTAAATCAGATTTTCCCGGTTGGATTGAGATTTCAGAGCAGCCCATCTAACCTGGGTTAGGTTTGCTCAGCATGCTCTTGGAAACAGGGAGTAAGGAAGCATTTTCTTAGACTTTTTTGACCTTACACACACTACTCGCACTTCTTGCCTCACAAAAGTGGGACAGGCTGTTGTCTGCTGCTTTGATTTCATTAGGGGTTTATGCTACTCAAGACAGTATTGTTTTCTATTTAGCAAATGGTGAAGGAATCAGAAAATTCCTGTTTTTATAATGTTTCAGAGGCTCAGCTTTAGAAGTTCCTTCAAAACAAAATATCTACCAAAAAAAACCCACAAACAAACAAAAAAAGGAGCTCTTGAATGCTACTTGTTCCACCTCCCCAGTGGCCTAAACTTCATTTTTAGTCTGGCTGAGGTTGTTGCAACCCAACAACACTTACTTTGTGATTGAAATAAACAATTTAAGGTTAAATGTGTCCCTTTCTGTTTCAAACTTCAAGTGTTCCCATCACAGTTACATAATGTTTCTGAAACATTTGGAACCCAAGGATTTTAGGTCTCGCTTTCTTTTGATGTGATTTGTTGGTTTTTGGTTTTTTTTTTGATAAAAATGATGAAAAGATGACTGTTGGAATACTGATGGTAAAGGTGCTGCAAATAGCTTTTTTTTTAAAAAAATTATTTATGAAACTTGAGTCTTTCCTTGCACGTTGAAGCTGTATTCTGTCAAGTGTTTCACGTGGTGTTCCACACACTGCTGCTTCATCAGCTGCTGAAGCTGACTAAACTTCATCTAGAAAGAGATCAGCTTTATGAAATGTCTGCAGGCTGTCTTCATTTAAAGAAATGTTCTGGTACATGCTGTTTGAAATTGATGCATGCTGCTTTCTCCAAAATAAATCCTTCCTAGCTGGCTAAATCCTGGAGTACAGCCTGTAGTGCCCAAAAGTTGGTCTTGTTAATGACTCAAAAGTGTTTAAAAGTGGTGTTAATCGCTTAATGCATAGTGATTAAAGTCCTGTTGATAAAATAATTACTTGTTCTTTGAGTGATAGGAAAAAAAATCTGGCAAACAGAACAAAAAGGTTTTATAACTGTTATGTCACTGTAAGAAAAGATATTTATAAAATGCTGGAACCGAGATTTTACATAATGATAGGCAAGGACATTCCTAAGTCCAGGTCCATAAATCATGGTTAGTAATAACAAAAGTCTTTTTCTCTTGATGGATTACTTCCTGTGAGCTGATTAATTGTCCTTAATGCCTACTTTATGCTGTCATTTCATAGTGTTTTACTTAAAGTGTTTTTTCCTCTGTGCCACAGTTTTTCTCCCTCAGTATAACTTTCAGAAAGTAGCAGGAGAGAACAGTTGAAAACACATTCCTTTTACAACAAGTACTTCTTTATGTACCATTGCACTTCTTCATTTACAAGCTTTTTCAGCCCATATGTTATCAAGATTATTGGCTTTGATTCAGGCCTCATGGCTGTGAATTCCTTTCAGAATGGCCTAAAATATACTTTTGTGTCATGATCTGGCCAAATTGCCAGTGATATAAAGTTGTGACTTGTCTTGTCTCCTGACTGGGGATTTAATAACTTTGCTTCACAGATAAAAGCAGAGCTGTTGGAAGCAATATTCTTTGATATGCAGAGGAAAATGTAGCTCTCTGTCAACTCCTTTGACACTCATAACCTGGAGCAAATGGGAAGACTACATTCCCAAAATAGAGAGATTCCTCATTCTCCGAAAATTCTGTAGGGAAACATTTGAATGGAGCAGTTTATCTTGACTGTCCTGTCTATGAATATCACTTTAAATTGAAATACACTGCCACAGAGATGTTGCTTTTGGCAAAAACGGTGTGGCTTAAGTTGCAAGGCCATTTCAATAAGTGTTTTTAGCAACAAATGTTGTGATTTGCCAGCCTACAGGAATGTATATTATTGTTTGCCATTGGAGATGACAGGAGTCAGACACAGTTGGTTAAGATTCATTTAGCACAGTCTCTAGATCCAGTATTTTACTGCTGGGAAATTTTATGGAATATCACTGCAAAAGTGACATTTCTGTTTTTATAAAGGAAGGTATCAGCTGGAGGATGCCCTCAGTCATTATTTACACTGCTCCACAAGCAAAAGTACACCTGAACTCCTGTGATACTTCAGAAGAATTGGGAAAGTACTTAATAAATTATGTATCAAGTAAGGGAGGGAGAAATTATTTCATGTGTCTTGGGGCCATCTGTTAAGCATTAACCTTTGATAAACAATAAGTTTATCAATGCAAGGAGCAGCCACATTTGGTAATGAACATTTACTGTGCTCTTTGGCCAACCTGTCACTCACCAGCTTCAACATTTTGTCTATCTCTGTCGTTGAAAATCTGCTTTCTATAAGACTGAGCAGACATCCCAGAATGATCTTCCAGAGAACCTCCATGAATTTTACCACCTTCTGTTTTCCTCCTTGCATCTAACTGAAACACTCTTTGTTTCAGATTTTTTCTGGTGTCTCTCACTGTCCTTTCTGTGCCACCCTGAAGAGTGTGGCTGTTCAAAAAGTTCAAAGCTAAGAGCAGATCAAAATAAACAGCTTTTGTGAGTAAATGAGTGAAAATAGTGAAGCAGTTAGCACAAGAAAGGTGGCTCCTTTACTCTGCCATATTCCTTCTGAACAATGAATATGTATTCCCTGTTCTTTGCCCTGTTCTCTTTTGCTCCTAGCAGTGGTCCCCCTGAAGGCCTGTCACCGATCTCTGATTTCATAGGTGTTTTTAATTAGTAGTTTCAATTGAATCCAGCACAATTCTCCAGAAATCCCAACTTCTCTCTGTCTTTCTTACTCCAAAGGAGTTGCCAGTAATTACAAAATCAGGAACTGCTTTAAAAGGTTACTGGGTGACAGATGTGGCTACCACCAAGTTATTTACAAAGCTGAAGCACTTAAATTGAGGAAATAAATAATTAAGAACTTTGTGTCATTTACAACACGTCATACACTTGTATACATATATATATGTATATACATATTTGTCTATACAGAAGAATACATGAGCATATCTTTTTTAGTAACCTGTGGCTAGTACAGTCCTTTTGGTATTTAACTTTTAACTTAAACTGAGGGCCTTTGGAATGGCAAATAGTAAGACTACATTTTTTTCCCCAAAGACTTTTAAACTGTTACATTTTGTCAAGAGTTGCATGCTTATAAATATAGTTTAACAGAAATACTATATAAAACTTTTGCTGTGCACAAGCTGGTGAAAGTTGTAGTTGTGATTGGTGTTTTTGTAAAGTTGTCATGGTTCTTTTTCAGTAGAATTCTGTGAAAGTTATCTCTGTAGACATGCTGGAGAAAACAGGTTTACTTAGGATCAGAACTGGTATTTTTGTAACTACTTAAATTGTATTTTTAACCATATATCTGATAGATTGATTAGTGTTACATGGAAATATTTTTCTTAGACTTTTCTAAAGATGCTGTCAAGCAAACTAGCTGTATTTTTCCTTTAGAAATACAACTTGCTTTACATTAAGTAATCTGGTTCATAATACTTCCTTGCTGTGTCTACAGTGTGCATTCTTAATGATGTAAGACATTATTCAAATTACAAATGATGTGACAAGACAAGGTTTTCAAGCTTCCAAACTGGAGGAGGAGTTGTTCTTAACTCAGTCACTCTGCACTTTTATTTACACCACGTGAAAAATGTAAGAGAAAACAATTTTACTTTTTAAATCAAATGTTTCCAAATTGTCTGTATGCACAGAATCCCTCAGGCCCTTCCCAAGGGCTGAGTAATCATCATTAGCCTTTTCTAGCACTTGTCCTAATCAAGTATTGAGATTTAACAAACACAAAGGTCTGGTGGGAGACTGGAGTACAGAGATCATCCACACACCTGCCCCCAGTTTCCTTGTCCCTGGTAAGTGCTGACTGCTCTGAACCATTATCTGTTGCATTAATGACATTGCTTTGTGGTTTTCTGAGTCCATTACAGTCCCTTCTCTGAGAATACTCTTACCAGAACTGAGAAGTCCTTTTTCCTTGGATTGATTCCTTTTCAGCTGTACATATATCAGCTGGGATCTGAATGCTTGCTTAGCACAGGAAATGAGATCTTATCAGCACAGCCTTTTCCAGAGTGAAATTTGCTGCTCGAAAATGTAGCAGAGTCAGGAGACACAAAGAAAAAACTGCTGTGCAAAAGAAATAAAAGGAAAAAAATATTCCATATTATTTGGTATAAAATAGAACTGGCACATTGTGTTAAGTTGTTGACAACAGTTTAAAATAAAGGGGTTCAGAGAGAGGGGAAACCATAAATAAAAGGTCCACGCTATGGGAGGATTAAAAATGCCAGTAGTATTTACTTATGTCCTGTTTCAGTGGAGATGCAGAACATAAGGAATGGCACAAAAAGACAAGCAGTGGTCTCCCATTTGTCATTTGGGGATAGAGAAGTGAAAGTGAAACAGAATATAAATTTATAGAAGGAAATTCTTTAGTTTCAGTGTGACTAAATAGTGAAGCCAAGAGCTTTGGAAGATTCAGAAAAAATTAGAGGTTTATGAAGAGGATGAGAACATCCACAGTTACTTCAGATTAAAAGATTCTGGAATATAAGTCATCATGTTCCAGGACATTAGACAACCTATAAAACAACAGGATTTACAAAGAAATTCCCTGTGAGCAGGATATTGTGTTTGTCCACACTGAATTCTTTGGTTCAATCCTCTGGAACATCTAATACTAGGAACTCAAACTCTGATACTAAACTCATCATTCTTATACTGCTGGATTTAGGCAGAAGTATATAAACCAAGCATTTCTTCTTCCTGCCCAGACATAATGACATAATGGTCTGTTTCACCACCCAAAAAAGGACAGGTGATTGGACAGACCAGATCCTTGGCTGACTTTATTGAGACCTAGGATTGCTGGCATTTCATTTACACACCCTTTTATCTGTGTTCTTTAAATTGTCTCGTATTTCCTTCTAAAACAGCATCAGTGCTCTCAGATTATGTGACCACATCCTGCTCCCTTTGTTCCTGTCCCTGTCACAGAACTGGCAGAACTACAGAGAAGTGTGGTAGCCAAAACCCACCTATAGTTTCAGTGACACCAAGTGACCTTGGCTGAAGGCTGGCACCTTGTTCTGCTGCAGAGGGTGACAAAGGGGTAGGGCTGGGCACAGAAGAGAATTCCAAAATCTGCTGCAGAAGGAGCTTGCTGGCAGGAAACCAGGGTGCCAACTGATTCAGGTACAAACTTTGAGCAGCTAAGTTCTCACCATAGATTACATATATATATGTAATTATTATATATATGTTTATATCAAAGTTCTCAAGCATATATTCTCATCCTTAGAAAAAAGAACTGAACATGAACAAAAGGCTAGATTAGCACAGGGCTGGAATGTATTTCCCATACAGGAGATTTGGATCAAGGCTGTTGGCTCTAGTCCTGTCTGTGTCCTGTGTCTCACTGTGCTGTGTCCCTCAGCTGCAGATCTGGGACACGGCAGGCCAGGAGCGCTTCAGGACCATCACACAGAGTTACTATCGCAGCGCCAACGGGGCCATCCTGGCCTACGACATCAGCAAGAGAGGCTCCTTCCTGTCCATCCCTCGCTGGATCGAGGATGTCAGGAAGTACGCCGGCTCCAACATCGTGCAGTTACTGATTGGTGAGTTGGAAATGCCACTGCTTCTTTGATATGGCCAGAAGGTTTTGGTTTTGGTTGAAGTTAAGTTGTGTGCAACAGACCTGACTGGAGATTTTACCAGAAGAACTGATTCAGGGAAGCAGAGATGTTTTGCTTTGATTGACTTCTTAAAAGAAGTAGACAGCTTTGAATCCTTTGCATCTCGTCTAATGGAGAACTGGGATGCCCAGGATTTCCCAGTTCTGAGGCACAGCTGCTGTGGAGACCCCTCTCCCCCTCTTTCCTCCCCTCTCCTTTTTCCTTTCCTTTTTCATTTCATCATAAAGATCTTTCCAGGGCCCAGGGAAACTCCATCATAGTAAGCTGATGTATTTTGGTGAGTTGGAACACACACACACACTTCAGCAGACAGGGATTTTTGGAAGGACTTTGAGGCAATCAGAGTTTGTCAGTTCTTTGCTAGGAGTTCTGCTTTCTAGCCCAAATGTTTTGGACTTAGATGCAGCTCTTGGGGCCTGTAGAGTTGCTAAGACAACAGCAGGACCATTCTAGATTTCCCTAGGAACCAGCAGCTGTCTGCTGTTTTCACAGAATGGTTTTAACCTCAATTTCTAGCCTATTCTCTTCTGTTACTTTTTCTCTATGGGTAATACAGAAATACAGGTTGGAAAGGGCTGGGGAGATCATCCAGTCCAAGCTCCTGCTCAGAGCAAGGCCAGAGTCAGGTTGGTCAGAGCCTTTTCAGTCACATTTTGAGAATCGACAGAATGGAAATTCTTCAGCTTCCTTGAAGAACCTCCTGCCAAGCACTTCCTGTGACACAAACAAGCCCTTATAAATTGCTCTGTTGTTCCCTTTCCTTCCAGGAAACAAGTCTGACCTAAGTGACCTTAGAGAGGTTCGGCTGGAAGAAGCTCAGAGCCTGGCTGAACACCATGACAACATCATCTGTGCCATAGAGACCTCTGCGAAGGACTCCAGCAACGTGGAGGAGGCTTTTGTGAAGATGGCCACGGAGCTGATGATGAGGCATGGAGGGCCCATGTTCAGTGAGAAGAACACTGACAGCATCAAGCTTGACAGCAAAGATGTTGTGGAAGGCTGGGGGTGTGGTTGCTGATAAGAGCTAGCTGATATCCCTAGCTGTACTGGAATTTAGACGGTGCTTCACCCTAATGCTGAGTAGCATGGTAGCCATATTCTCCTCCTCCTCCTGTGAAACCAGCAATTTTGTAGAAGTTAGACACAATCCTGTTTGCTTCGGTGTCTTAATTTTAAAAAGGGACTTAGGAGAGATAGTCCTAAAAGTCAAACCCTCTGAAAAACTTACTCAACATTTGTCCCCACCATTTTATTTTCTGTAACCTTCATACGAGTTACAAAAACGGAGGAAGCGACTTTGAACTTGATATTTTGGGGTGGGAAGACATTTGGTTGGGGAAGAAGCTGATGCAAACCCAAAGGTCTGAGCATTTAGCGTGGGTCTGGTGGCAAAGGAGATCACTTTTGGAATAGGCAATCTTGACAGTGTCTCCTCAAATCCTCAGCGCTGCACTGTTGACCAGAAAGTGTCAGTGTCTTGGATAATGGTATTTCAAGGGTCATAATAGCCAAGATTTTGATGACAGGACCAAATAGCAGTCACCTGTCCTAGGGCATATAAATTGCTAGTTGCTGTTGGAGCAGGCCCAGGTGGGGGAGCTTCTCTCAGGTTTTGTTGTCATTTGAAGTTAGTGTTTTAACAGAAAGCAAAACCAGCCTGAGCGCTGTCGCAAGCAGGGCTGGACCGGGGCAGTGATTTAAAACAGCCTTGAGGAGAGGGAAGGTGCATTTCATTTCCTATTGTTTGCACAGTGGTAGCTCCTTCTTCCAAGTGGAAGCATCACTGAGATTTTGCCCTCAGGTCTCATCATTTCATTCCACAAGTCAAGACCTGCACCACTGGAAAGAGAAACTAGAGAAACCTTGAGCTGACTGTAGCCAAGATCTCTTGCCATGTGCCTAAAGGTCAAGTACAGGGTTCATTCTGGTCAAACATTTGATGTTGTGTTACCAGAGTGCATAAGTGGCATAAGTGGATTTGATTTTTTTATTGGTTTTGTTCTTTAAACCATCTCTTTTAAGTACTGCATGGGCATATAATGGGAAAGAAGACCTCAGAATAGCTGAGAACTGCATGATTGCAACTTCTTGGCTGTGAAAAACCAGCGTTGAGTGATTCCCTCCCAGCTTTGTACCCAAATGTTCCCCTCTCCCTAACACAAGTTACCAGTTGCTTTTCATTTCTTTAAAACACTCAGCAGGAAAAATCTTTCAGTGTGGATCAAAATCTACATAAAGTAAAATAGATTTCATAATCCAGTTCTTTCAGATGCAGCTCTGTAGAGTTTCTTGTAGATGTAGCTAAGATACTGATGGATTCCTCTGCATTTACACTCTCAGGCACCTTACAAAAGTGTATTTGCAAAGAGAGCAGGGGCAGCAATATTTTTAACTCTGCAGATAAAGCAAAGGTGTTCAGGAATGGCAAGCAATTCTGGTAATTTGAAGGAGTTACTTTCAAAAAGCACCCATTTGAAATCACTTGACTCTTTGAAAAATCCAGATCAAAAAGGACTTGAATTGTTTTGCTACTAGGCCTGCACCAGTTTAGTCATCCAACATATCCAGTGCCATGAAAATTAGGAAGATTTAGGAAAGGGCTAATGGATACCAATTTTAATACTATTCATCTTCCTGTAGCAAATACTAAACCATTTTCTGATCTTTCTGGGTTTTTTTTAAACTGTGAGGTAGATAACTGAGGAGTAGTGTGTGCTTTGTAGCCTGTTTGCTTCTATCTAAGGGGTTAGTTTTCAAATTTTATAGTTGGGGGAATGAAAAGGCCTTAAGTTTTTCAACTAGTATAGTTTTCACAATTCTGATATTTTCTACAGAAGGGCAGGCTGAGCTGCAGTACTTGGTAGTGTTTTTGGATAGTTTTCCAGAATATTCCTACTTCCAAAGATAGCAGGCAATAAATGTCCAGCTGGACATTTGGGGATTTGAAATTGGGAATGGGAATGAACATGGGAATTTTCCAGACCCTAGAATTGTTGGTGTATTCCCTATATTCTGCTCTCAGGAGAAACTGTGAAGACAGTCCGAGCTGCAACTCAGTGCTGGTGACTGCTTTTCCTCCTGCTGAGATCCTTAAGGTACAGAACATTTGCAGACACTTGACTTTCTGTCCTGACCCGTTACAGTTGATGTCTGTAGGTCGTGGTCCTGCAGTTCTGCTTCAACAGGGACCCCCAGATGAGCTCAGCCCCCCACTGCCTGCAGGATTGGTGCCAAATTATTTAATAATGAGAAAAATCCACATGCATTTAAGAGCAGTATTGCTACTTCTCAGACTGAAATCCATAGTTTACATAGTAACTCATCTTAAAACTGGAACAAGAAGCAAAATGAACATAAATCCTGCTTCCAGTGCAGCCAGTGAATGATTGTGTTTTTACAAGTAGATGAAGAACTGGGGAATTGTTGATCCTATTCTAGCCTAAACCTCTTTGTTTTGAGGTTTGTTTAGTGAATAAGTAGAATTAGACCAGGCAATACACTTTGCATTACAATTTGCCTGGATGTATCTCTTAAACCAGGCTTGAAGGGTGAGGCTCTGTCTGCAGCTCAGTCTGGCTCAGTCAGAAAAGGTGCAATACAGCAGCAGTGATTTGTGTGCTGTACTGTAAACGAAGGCACCAATTCCAATTGGTTTTCAGTTTCCTGCAGGAAACTAAAACCTTGGCTTTAAATCAGTTTTGTCTTTTAACTCTTGGCTCTTCTGTGTTGTAACAAGTGGAGTACAAGTTTGCATGCCCTCCTAACTGAACAAAAGAAATAGAAGAAGACCTGGTTTATTTTTAATTTTCCTTTTTTCAGCAGAAACCTGAAGACCTGGTTTATTTTTCAGGTTAGCAGCTGGTGGTGCTCGGGCTCTCAGTAGTTAAAGTTTATTTTGATTACCAAACCCTTCCTTTGTTCACTGCCCCCTAGGCTGGGAGCTTCTTGACCAGAAATAAATAGTAAATGTAGAGCTTTTCACTGCCCTGCTGAAGACTTTATCAAACCTGGGACTAAACACAGCCATGAAATTCAGGCATTAGGGAGATTGTTGGTTTAACTCCACTAATCCCATTGAACCCAAAAGGATACTGGAGTGAAGAGAGTGAGAAGCAATAAACCTGTGATTTACGGGTAAAAACCTGAGTTTCAGCTCTCAGGGTATAAATGGGCACTGATGTACATCCAGTGAATAATTCAGTAGTGCTTGTTCAGAGTTCACAGCATAAACATTTGCCAAGAAATCTGTTTACTGCCAGTTGAACATTAACAGGACTATGGTGCAGTAATTGCTTTTAAGCAGATCCCCTTGGCTGATCATGTATTTGCATTAGTATTTATCATTTCTCTTTGGCAGTACCAAAGTGTGCAAAAATATTACAAAAGCACAGGAGGGGACATTGATCTCTGCTTTGCAGCACTTGGGAGTGGAATGCAGAGGCAAATACTGAAATGAAATCATCAGCAAAATGTGGTTCCCAGGAGCCTTTGTTACACTTAGTATTGATTTCAAGCTAATTTTATCTCCAGTTTCTCATCCAGTCCATCATCACGGATGGAACTTGTACAAATATTTATAATTATGTAAATATAAAAGCAAATAAATGCTGGCCCAGAAACCTGCTAACGTTTGCTTTGCAAAGCAAAATTTGACAAAAATGAGAATACTTAAGAACAGAGGGGAGGAAAAGTCCTCTCACAGTACTGGAAAGAGGTTTTTCAGGGGGAAAAAAATCCTAATGAAGCCCAGCTAAAACCACTAATAGCTTTCCTGTTAGTTAATACTGATAGATTTCTAAGAGCTTCACCAAAAGTGGAGCTCTTGCTTGTTTTGGGTGCCTCGACTATCATATATGAAAACAAAGGTTTGGAAGATTGTCCTTTGCACACAGCATGCAAACTTGTCCTGAGGACATTTCTTAAAAGTGAGCCAAGAGCTGAACTGACACAGACACAAAAGCTGCAGACAGATGCCTCCCAATCTCTTCAAAAGCATCTCGGTACCATTGCAAATAAAGCACAAAACTTGTGTGGAAGTGGTTTTGCACTAAAGGGAAATAGTTATCAGAGAAAAAAAAAAAATCATTAATGTGAAAGGAGAGCATCCTGGTTATTCTGCATTTTTCATGTTGATTTCCTGTTTCAATGCTGTGCATAAATAAGATTTTTTCCCTTTAAAAATTATATTAAAATAGATAAAGTGTGAAAAGTAGTTTGATACTTGACAAAATAAACACTTTCTTAAGAGAGTGGTAATGCTGATGAGGAGAGTAACTTTGCTAATTGGGCTTGGTGGTGCAGTATGAGGGGTTCCCTACAGTTGTTGTGTTGGAATGGTGTGAGACACAAAAACCATTCCCAAAACAGGGGAAGCCAGTGGGGGACATCAGACCCTGTCCTGCCTGCCAGACAGAAAATAGATACAGGCATGTACTGAGCAGAAGGTGAATTTAGTTCTTTGTAACTGTTTTTAAAGATTTCTGTTTTAGATCTCTGATGGGCAGATGTGCTCTGTGCTGTCAGCCAGCTTTTCCCTCTTCTGTGCCTCACTCGCTGAGATCTGACAGGTAAAGACCCCACAGCTCCAGAGCAGGGAGCATCCCAGCCAGTCTGGCTCACACACACCTCTTGGGGGGAAGGAAAAAAATCTCTAATTCATATTGAATTCATTCACTGCATTCCAAAATTATTTGAGGGGTTTGGGTGATAACAGTGTTAAAATGGTTCTGCATTTTCTAGGACAAATCTGTTGCTTTTCAAGGTTTCTTCAAGAGATGCAGGCTGTACATTTCTAATCATCAGTAACTATTTTGCTTTTAATCTTTCTTATCACAATACTGAATAAATGATTTGGAATATGAGGAGACAAGGGAGCAAGCTTGCATACTACGGTAATTTTTTATACTTTACCTTCATCTATTTATGAATTTATTATGAAAAGTATTTTTAAACATGAAACCTGCTTTTGTTGTGAATTTTAGCAAAGTAGTGGATACATTGTACTGTGTATCATTTAAAAGGTTTAATTAAAGTAAACATTTGGCAATTAATTCCTTTTGTTGTTGTTTTATGCATGTACCTTGTTGTGGTATATGATCAGAAACAAAGTCAACTTTAAGAAATGATGTATGCTATCCTACAGTGCTGCATGGTCGACTTTTGCACAAGATATGGCCTAATGTACTTTTAATTAAACAAATGGTGCTGAACTATCTTCCTCTTATCCTCCCAGCTCTCCATCACTTCCAGAAATGCATGCACTTCCAGTTGTTCCCAGTTAGCAAACTCTCCAGCAGAGCTGTCTGTGAGGTGAAGAATGAAACCCAGAATTTCTCCAGTGTTGGAGAAGCACAAATAACTTTTTCAGTGCTTGCAATTAAGTGTGAACAATGTAGTTACAACTGTACCTCCCCAAGGGAACGTTTAGATCCTGGATTTTATTGAAGTGCTGGGAATTAAACAAAGCAACACCCCTTTCTTTTTGCTTGGCTCTTTAATTTGAACGTCAGCAGATGGGTATTTGTGATCCACAGGAGCCAAATATTGAATTACTTGGTTTGCATTGTCTGCTGCTTCAGTAACAGCCTCAGGTATCGAAAGAGGAGTTGTCAGTGCCATGGCCAGGCTCTGGAGCTGGGTCCTCAGAGGGCTGGGAGCAGCTGAATTTATCAGTTAATCCTCTTTATTACTACAGAAACCTCATGGCTGTGACGGTGCTGGTGAGAGTGGATGTGAGAGGGAAATGGTGCAGGTGTCATGATTCATGTCCATCTGCTCTTGGGAGGGACTGACTTTGACTTTCTCCTGTGTTCTACACATTTGAACTGAAGTTTCTAAATCTGTGTGGGGGAAAAAACCCCCAACTTTTCCCTTTTAATGGCTTGCTATAAGTGCACGTGATGAACACTTGGAAATGATTTCCCATTTCTGGGAACTCTCCCTGGAATTCTCTAAGAATGTGAAATAGTTTGGATACAAGAGATCTACACACACTACAACCATTTTTCATTTGCTGTGGTGAACTGACCTTTCATTATGTAGCTTGTACCTTCAAAAAAAAACAAAAAACTGTGGTTTTTATAGTTTAAGTTCACTGAATATTTTTTCTCCTCATCTATGGGCAGGAAGTTAGCTGTTAAACTAGCAGAAAGCATTTTCCCAGATACAATTCCACAAAACAAGACACCAGTCCTAAATCCTATTGAAAATCTGATTCTGAGATTCTTACCTGTACAACAGGTGCTGCTTCTGCTTTTCAAGCAAAGGTCAATAAATAAACCAACAAATAAATATTTTATAATTATTAATTTATAAATAACACCTGCTGGGTGTTAAACTGTAAGGCATGTTTAGCATGAGCCCAGATTCCAAATTGGCTTACAAGACCAACACAATGGAAGGAGAACTTTTAAGACCAGCTGAGTCCTAGGTAGTCTGAATTAGAAATTAAACCAATCTTTACACAAAGTAAACCCACCTGTACTATTTGGAATATCCACTCATCTGTTTTATTCACAGAAGCGACCACAAAAACACTTCCCTGAAACTTTTAAGTGTGCAGCCTGTTTCTGTCAACGCTGAAAACAGGACATATTTCATCACCCAAGAATTCATCCTTGTCTAGACAAAAGGTTTTAATACAGGCTGTGTGAGATAGGCTGTGATATCTGTTAGTTTCCATTTCTGTTCAAGCTACAGAGCATACAGGCACACCACTGAGTTTCAGAGAAACTCCTGTAATCCCAGCTTTAATTTACACTGATGGAAAGAGATTTCCACCTCTTTGGCAACTGCCTTCTGTGTGTAGTGTTATCCAGGTCACTATTTATGATTTCCTTTATTTCCTTCAACTGCTGGTTTTTCAGCATTTTGGCTTTTTGAGGGTCTGCCAAGCCCAAACTGCCACTCACCAAGCTGGAGTTCAGTCCATGGAGATGGAGAATCTGGAATATCCTGAGGCTTGGAGGACTGTCTTCCTCCTCTATAAACACATTTTATGTTAATGTTTCCATGAGGGATGAGATTTAAGAGGTCTATATACAGTTCTTTCATGAATCTTTTCAAGTGTTCATCCACATTGCAGAGAAAAAAAAAAAAAAAGGAGAAACAGAACATTTTCTGTTCTTCAGCAATTTCCAACATTTTTATTCCTTGCTCCACCGATTCTGGTAGAGAGTTGTACAACATGCCTTAGTACTGAAACAACTTCAAATCATCCTGACCTTACAAAATCACAATCTTTACTTAGATTTGGCATTCTTTGCGAATACTTGGTATATTACAGAAAAGTGCTAAAGAAACAGGTAGATACCTGTTCATTGTACCAATGAAAAGGCAAGAATGTGCTGCTGTAAATACTTTTCCAGTGAAGAAGCAGGAAATCGACTGTTTAGAGCAGTGTCCTTACACAGGATCCAGTGAGACACTGAAAGCTCCTCAGGAAACATTACAAGAGATGAATCAACAATCCTGACAGTGGAGAAGGGACTGCAGTGCTTTGCAAGCAGAGGAAACACAACAAAATCTGACTTCACAGCAGCTGTGAGCTCTCAGAGCTGCTGTTGGGATAACGAGCAGTGAAGGATTTGGCCAGGAAGGCATTCTGCCAACCCTGCAGGAACCTGGGAGAAATGAACACCCAGGATTTTGTTTGTACAATGCCTAATTTGAGGAAAAAAAACACCTAAAAAACTCAACCCTAAAAACCTGACTTAGTCCCTAATGTGAATTGATCTTTGTGTGTAAGTTGACTTTGATTTTAAAACAGTGAACTGGCTTATGTTTTCCAAGCTTAAGTCACAGGTACAACACATATTGTGTTACAACAAACAACACAGAAATACTTTCAAAGGCATCTTTGGGATGAAAACTTTAGAAGTATTTTACAGGAATAACAAAAAAAAAATAAATTACTTTTTCATTTTAAATGAACAGCTATTAAAATTCATGACCCAAACAACATGTAACATTGACATGAGATGAGATACATTACACTAAAGGCCAGTTAATTACCACAGTGGTATGAGGCTTCAAGTAAATTAGGAGGCACTTTTTGGCCAAGCAGTAGTCCCTGATTCAGTGGTCAAGTCCCAACTCACAGAAACACCTGAAACAAAACTGCTAAAGCTTTCTAAGACTCTAAATTCCTAAATAAAAGAAAAGTGCAGATAGAAATGCAGCAAAAAGCAGCAAAAGGCCCCAGAGGGCACCACCCAGGTCTGCTGCTTCCCTTCCAGGATTATGGAGCTCCAACACAGCCAGGGCTTCACACAGCAATAAGAGGAGCAATAAAACTCCAGGGACATGGGAAAACAGACACAAGGAAAGGCAGCAGCAGTTAGATCAGAGCAAGTCCAAAGTGGGACAGGCTGAACTCTGCTCTGATTGAAGGGAGCACTGAGTACTTGCAGAATGCCAGGCACTGAGACGTGGTGTGCTCTGTACCAGCCCACGTGGAATGGACTGAGTGACGCCAGCACCACAATCTGATATCCTCAACATCCCCAACACCTAAAAGCTAAATCTTCCAGCAAACAAAAGGAGGTACTTTTGTGGAGGGATTTAAGAACCAGTACATGAATAGGCTACTATGAAATATTGCTATTAAAGTCCCTAACATAACAAAGAAGAAGACAATAATGGGCAACTCAAGCCAGAAATTCCATATTTAGAAGCACTATAGAAAGCATTATTGATATTTAATGTACTTAAACACACTAATGTTCCTACGTGTACTTCTAATAAGCATACTTAGTAGAAGATTGTATCAATTTAGAGGTTAAAAAAGTTTAAAGGCAGCAGTTTGTGGCACTCTTGTAAAGCACAATGTGTTTTGGGGAAGAAAAGCGCAGCACTGAGCGGTCCTTAAGAAATCATGTCACCTCAGTTAGGTACAAAGTTCTCCAGCTGGAAGACCAGGTCTACAGCAGCATCCACATCTGGCACAATGTGGTCTGGTTCCACCAAGCCAGGGTCGAACCTGAAATCCCTGTGGCCGTGGAACACGCTCTCAGTTATGCTGTCCCTGGTGTCCAGGGGCACCTCGGTGTGGGGGTTGTACACCCCGGTACAAACCAGGACAGACCTGCAGTGGGCAGCAGCTGCAGATGCCAGCTCGTTCTCCCAGCTGAGGCCAATCTCACTGTCCTGGGAGAGCGTGGCAGGGCCTCTGCCTCCAGAAACCTTGGCCTGGAGGCGGGATTTGGAACCTGTCCTGGAGCTCTCCAGGTAGCGGTTGTACAGGTTAGCGCCGTACACATCCGTCATCAGATTGTCCCTGCAAACGAGAAATCCAGTCAGCACTGCAGCTTTAGCTGTCAAAAATCATTCTTACAGTTTCCATTTAACAGTTCATTGTATACTTTACACAACTTTATGTGGAATTGGGGAGACAGGGAGAAATCCAACCCCGCAGCTGTTTTATTGTACCATTTTCATGAAGCATGACAGGATAAAAATGAATCACTCTCCATGTTGCAGACTTGGGGCAAGGGGAGAGAAAACCGAGGTATGAGCAGCCCATGAATGAGCTTACTATATTTCCAAAAATCTTGGAGATTCTGGAACAGTCCTTAATACAATACAGCTTTATCTTCTTCTCTGAAAAGGATTCTGTGATGTGGCAGCACAGGCAATAGCATATGACCAACCTAAATTACCTCAGAGATAAAGTCTAGCACTACAGTCTCTGTCCTTTGCTCAAAGGCAGTTGGTGTTACACCATCAGACCTAAGAGAATCAACATCCAGACAAACCCTTTTTGTTAGATTAACACAGCCTATTACAGAAAATAAATAAATTAATAAAAAATCTGGAGAACTCTTAGTTGCATATAAAACTACCTTCTGAAGAAATTACACATTAAAAGAGCAAAGCATCGTTAATTTTTAATATTAGAAACCTCATAAAAAATACACCATAACACCAACGAAGTCAGATGGTCTCATAATGGTAGGAGAAACAAGCTGGTGAGAGTTGTGTGTTTTTCTTGGCTGGCATTTACACATGTGAGTAATTTCCTGGTGCATTTGTCAGGCTCAGCTCGCCTTACCCCACAGCATAGAGGGTCTGGATGGGCTGCTCCCAGCTCCTCTGCAGGGCCTGAGCCCGGATCAGGTGCTCTGCATATTGGTATGTCAGCCTGCTGGGTTTGCCCATTAACACCTCGTACTTCAGCTCTTTGCCAGTGATCTTCTTGTAAATGTTTTCCAAACAAACCATGAATGTCCCGTGCCCAAACCTACACAGATAGAAATCCAAACCATCAATGTTCCATCCCCAAACCTACACAGAAATAAACCCAAACCATGAATCTCCCGTGCCCAAGCCTACACAGATATAAATCCAAACCATGAATGTTCCGTGCCCAAACCCACACAGATATAAAACCAAATCGAATTAAATTAAGCACAGATTAAAAACATCAAAAAAGGCTTTTTTTTTATTTCATGATTTTTTAGGAATAAATCATGTCCTGTAACTATCAAATTCTCCTCAGCATGCAACATTTCTGCAGCTGGTTCACTGAAAATTAAGTGCTATTTAGCTGAACAACAGACACCACAATAAACCCACATTATTGGGATGGCACAACAGATTTATCTAATTTTAAAATTGCTCGCTGGAGGTATCCTGGCCGCCTCACGGTAGCCTGAAGCCATCACACATAAATCTTTTTCAATGTGCCAATTAGAGATGGCCTTTGCTTCCAAAGATAAAAATCTGAGCAGATCTCTGACCCAGGATTCAGGCAGCAATCAAGTCACAGTAACAAGTTTCTATTTCAAAATTACAGACTGAGGGGAAGGGAAGGGAAACAAACCTATTAAAGAAGTACCTTCTATTGAAAGCAAAATCAAAACCACTCTAAGAGGTCCTGGCACCTTGTTCTGTGTGTTCTACTTGTTTTCTCTTGTGTTCCTTAAAGAGCTCACTGCATTGTTCCCAGCTCAGAACCACTCACTGCTTTCAACCAGCAGGGTCAGCTCTTTACCCTACCAGGAAAAGAGAAATACCAAAGAGGGACCTAATGAAATGAAACAATGGCCTTGATAATTTTTTTTTTTTTTCATTTTTGCCTTTGAACTGAGGCTCTGAGGCCCTCAGGAAAAAAAACTTCTCTTTCTCCACTGTTCTGGGAGTGAGGAAACAAAAGGGGTTTTTTTTTTTGAGCTTAAAAGCGGTTTTTCTCTTGAGTGACTGATTTCCTGGATGCAATAATGCAGCCAGCAACAAGGCAGCATTAGCTGAAAGTGCATTAGAGATGTGGCATTGGAAGCCAAGCCCTGCTGTGAAGCTCCATCAAGCATTCTGTATTCAAGCGTTGACTCTGAATCCTACTGGAAAAATGAGGAAGCCCCAGATAAATCCCAATTCTATGAATAAAGCACTTACCTTGGGGACTGTGCCTCAGCCACCCACATCAGGTCCATGTTACAGGCAAGCACGGGAATGTGAGGGTAGTTTTCCTGCTCATAGGGATTTCCAGGATAGCCACTTGTCAGCAAAACATCAATTATCAGCTGCAGGCTGGTTTCCCATCTCACTGGCTCCCCAAACAACACCACAGCTGTGAGAGCCACAGTTACAGAACAGGAATGGAATTGTTAGCACTGAGTCTCTGACACGGGGTCTAAAACTTGGCCTAAAGAGACTGAACAAGTAATTTAATACAACCAGGAACTGATCAAACAGTCACATTAATTTAAGGGCTTGATATATCACATGCCCATCCATTCAAAATCTCAGAAGTAACAAGACCCCACTGCAAACTTGACAGCTTTAGGAGTTTTATTTCACAGGTGAAGTTTCTCCAGAAATTACAATATTGACTTCTAAATTGTATTTCCAAGTCTTCCATAACTCACTAGTTCTCTGTTTACACACAGTACATGAATACACCACCTGCAATGTTGATTTGTTCATCTCAGAACAGAATTTGGATGCTGTATTTAAAAACTGCTTTGGTCTCCAGCAATAATCTGACATGGATTTTTTAAAATCCTAAGGTCCTATTTCTACTTTCCTGTAGTTCAGATGAGATGAGAGTGAACACAAGGCCCTTGCCATACTACAGCTCCATCCTGACTACTGTAAGAACAAGACCAATTATTTCTGAATAATGAACATCAGTTAATTCCTCATTTATGAAAGGAGGGCGACAATAGCCTGTTAAAGGCAGATGAAAAGGAAAGGAGACCTCATATAGCCTCCAAACTTCAAAACCCAATGGCTGAAAGCTGCATGCACTAAAAAACAGCTCTACAACACATGATGCTTTCAAATTAATGACAGGTGTCATTAACAAGGAAATTTTAGGATTGTCTCAGACAAATTTCTGAAGTGCCCAACAAATCTAAAAATAATTTCTGAAAATAAAATAACATAAAAATATTTCATTTATTAATGGATAGATGCAAGTTAAATAAAGATAACTGACCCTCAATCTTGGGAAGCTCCACAGCAGAAGGAGACTGCAATAAGAAAAAAGTGAAAGTTTTTTTACAAGATTAAACATCTGTTTTAAACAGAATAAATTCAAGCACAGCTCCCACAGCTGCCCCCTGCCAGGGAAATGCACTCTATATTGACATATACCTGATGTCAGTTCACTCAGAAAATTGTGTTTCCACTCTGACACCTCTGGCCCAGGGACAGCAGTGACTGTGCTGTACCTGCACCAGCCTCCTGCTTCTCCTGAGCTGTTTTAAACAGCTTTTTAACTGGAGTTTTTTAACTCCAGCTCTTAAAATTACTTGTGTTGCAATTTTAGCTGTTTAAATTACCTGTTTAATTAGTTGTCTAAATTACTTGTATATAAAAGTACAGATGTTTATTTTTTCCAGTAGTACCAAGACATTTGAAAAATAGTTTTTGAGATGTTTTTCTTTAACACTTCTGATAAAGAATGCACAGTATAACATGTAATATATTTGCTAAACAATTAAGAGTTTGCACTTCATTATTTACTCTCTGTGGGGACATCCACTTGGGTGAGGAGCCCAGCTGAGGGATGGATTCTGTGAGCCATGTCCCTGTCCCAGGGGGGAAATCCTTTTTTTAGGCTGGCTCTGAACATGAGCAGCACACCCAGCTGTTCACTTCTGCTTCAAACCCTGCACAGCTCAACTGGCACCACTGTACCCACTGTAAACATTTAAATAGTGCTACAAACAGCAAAGGGAGATCTTTGAGGGAAAATGATTTCTCTTCAAAGCATTCATTTACAATCAAAGCTACCTCATACCAACACAATCATATATTCAGGGAAAAGCTTACGTTATCTGCCATACTTTCTGAGGAACTAATCAGCTTCCCAGGACAGACTTTGCATTAGGTATCTGCATTAGATTGTGAGTTTTCCTGCAGCAGTAGGTTTAAAATCAAAGGCTGGGTTAAAGAATTACTACTGAGAGAAAAGAGTTGTTCTTGAGAATGCTTTGTTAATAAAACAAATAAGGAAGCAGAAAAGTAAAGTCAAAACACAGTGTAAGAACAGCAGCATTAGCTTGGTAGTTAAATATTGACCCCTGTTATAGGATGTCATGCAATGAGCAAACAGAGATGTTTAAAACAAAAATCTCCACTCACCAGGACATTGGGTCTTCTGTCATGGTCAACTGCATCGAGGAGAGGGCGTTTCTCCCGCAGGGCGTCAATGGTGATGGGCTGGCAGAAACCAAGGCTGGGACACAGCAGCTAAGGACACACAACTGCTCACAGGAAAAGGTCTCCAAACTGCTGATTCCACTTAAACCATTTAAGTGTACTCAACTGACAAATTACTTAGGAATGAAAGCAATGTCAAGGACAGACTTTTCCTTCTGTGAGACAGAAAAGATGATCGTCCCACTGCTGATAAACGAGAGACCAAAGTTCTTCTCTTTTGTTTTCAGTCTTCTCATCTGCTTCTCTCTTAGCCAAGCCTAATGAATTTTGACCATTAATTGGAATGTTCCTTCAATACCTTTTTCTCAGCTTTGTACTTCAGAGCTTATGTTTAAAAGATGCATACACATTTTTGCAACTCGTGATTGACACCAACTTTAATGAAAATCCCACTAAAGGAAGAAGTGCAGAAGGGACTTAAAGGAAGCCTGAGCAAAGCTTATGCAAAAGTTAAGATTATTAAGTTACAGTTTGAAACTTTGATACCACCAAGTTATCAATATAATTCAAGTTCTTTGGGCACTCAGTATAAAGCCACATCCAAAACATAAATTTGGCACCATACTAAGAATTATCATTACTATTTATTACTGCATTTGAAGGGTTGAAATATTTGACTTTCACTTAATCCATGGGATCCCCTGAACCTGATTAAGGAAAACACTGTGACAGAAAGTTGTTGGTTTTTTTAACTCTTTTTTTTAAAGATACTCTTGAGCAATATCAAGAAGTGGTCCTTGTCCAGATACCAGAACACATTTTTCATGATAACGCTTGAACATCCGCAGAGGACTGTGTGACATCATCACTTGATCTTGTGAAATCTGTTTGGGATTTAAAAACAAAAGGAGTTTTTCAGAGAAGTTGTTTACACATAGACTCAATGAACAGATGTGACAGATTCCAGGAATTAAGTAACAATCAGCATTTTCTCCTTTCACAAATGATGTATTGATAATATGTCAGAAAAAAGTAGCTTACTGACCAATTGTCATACATACTCCTTTGAGCTCCCAGCTCTATTCAACATGAACAACCTTTCCTCTCCTAGTTTTATAAAACCACCAAATTCATTTGGAAATAAAAATTCCAATAAATTATTCGGAAATCATTTTCCTTTAGAAAAGGAGAATCCGAAGGGGCCTGGTTCCAATCGTGGGTCCTTTGCTGGACTGCAGCTCTGATTTAATAGTGCCAGAAGATCACCTGATTGCAGTTTACATATCCCCACCCCTTCAACAGGAGAGGGATTAACCAGTAAGATTATTATTCTGGAAAGATGCTCCTGTGAGCACCTTTCCAAAGAAATACCTTTAGCTTTACTGTTGGAAAAATCACACTGCCTTTAGCAGTGGAAATTCCATTAGCTTTGGACAGCATTTTTTACTTTCAGCAAAGCATGTCAAGGGGCTTAAAGGGAAAAGCAGACCTGATTAACTGAGCAGCACTTAATGGAAGATAATACATCTGACACACTCAACATGATAATGAAATAAATGGGATTTAGGTGACTCACTGGAACCCCCAGCAGGTGAGACAGCTGGTCAGCTTTCTTCTGGCGCAGGCAGTTCCCTGCGTTGGTGACAAAGACCACGGGCACCAGGAACTGTCCCTGAGAGTTGACCAGCTTTTGGAAGGCTGTTCTGGCAGCAGGAATGGGGGTCTTCCCTCGCACCAGCACCCCATCAATGTCAAAGAGAAATCCGAAGGACGGCAGCACGCTGAGCTGGAAGGAGGGATGAAATCAAACGTTAGTTCTGTCTGTCCTTACACATACTTAATAGGGTTTACAGCAGCTGCAGCCCCCTGAGAACAGACACCTCCAGTGGGAGCAGGGGATCTATATGTTTATGTAGTAGAACTGTTCTGTTCTACAAGTTTGATTACAGCCAAGTGACTGCTGTGCTCCCACACACACCTTCAGTGCTGGTTTCACTTAGGGCAGACTAACAGGGAAAGTCAGCACCTACACACAGGTGCTGCTCAAGTCACTGAAGTGCATCTCCTTGCCTGCCTTTGAGGCAGTGAAGAGCTGGACTTGGTGAGCCCCAGCGAGGAAAGATGAGCTGGGTGATAAGGGCAAGGAGCAGAGAGAGAGAGAGAGGACAGTTGAGCAATGAAGCTGTTACTGGATCAGGCTGGAAAAGTACGGAACAAAACCTATCATCTAAAGCTCATTTCTCTCCTGAGCCTGAAACAGAAACAGGAACCTTGGGATTTATCATCAGTGATGAAAAGGGACGGGTTAAGGGCCGAGGCTGAGCGTGATGGAGGGAGCAGGCACAGAAAGGTCTGCAGCCATGGGAGGTGGCTTTGCTAGCAGAGCTGTCTCAGGGCACGCACCCACAGCCACCTGTCTCCTGTGCAGGAGGAGAAGGGCCCTTTGCCCACTCAAGCAGCACTTTTGTTCCACATCAATTATTCACCTGCCACACTTTTCCTGCAGCTGGGCACAGCACAGGGACAGGCAGTGCTGGGAATGGGGATGCAGCTCAAACGAAAGGGAAAATCCACCCCCTTACACAGCCCGAGTTCATAACGTCAACACTGTAAATATATTACATTACTATTCATTTAAATTAGGCTGGGGTTTTGTCTTTACATGCAAGAACTCCCCCTGAAGCCCTCTCATTTCTCCTCTGTAGAATCACCACCCTTTTGATTTGAAGAACAAAACTCCTGGAGTCCTTGTCTCCACACAGCCCGCACCCATTTCAGGAAAGCTATGTCAGAAATAACCCAACTTGCTGCAGAGATGCTGCTAAAGGCTTGCTAATAAACGTAGAGCAGTCTTCCCAGGCTTTGTGAATGGGTACATGAAACTGCTGAAACGATAGTGGTAATAGAACAACTCTCTAGCAGATGCGATTCTTTACGTTAATTTTGCGACATATAAATAAGAGATGTAAAGATAACAGATTACAAATGGGAACTTTACAGTGAGTAACGCTAACAGAAAGAAAAAGAAAGTATTACGTGGGGAAAAAAAGCACTAAGAAAAGAACTGAACACATACATATGACAGATATAACGATAAATAGAGATAATGATGTGAACAGCTTTGTTTCCCTTTTGACCCGAAAGAAACTGTTGGAGACAAGAGTGCGGTGCCGCACAAGCAAAGGGACGCGGTTTCCCTCGTTCGCTCTCTAAGAGCAGGAGCACACGCAGCCCCGGGACCGGAGTATCCGGGAAATCTGTCCCGGCGTCCCGGGGAAGCCAGGATACCGCCGGGCATCCCCGGCCAGGGCGAGTGGCCCTGCCGCGCTCCGCCGCGCCCCGCACCCGTTTCGCTTTCGCTGCTCCCCGGCCCGCCCGGCCCGGCCCCGCTCACCGCGCT